TGTGGGGAGAGCAGGGGCACGGGGGCACAGCAGGGAGCACATGGACACAGCGGGGGCGCTGTGTGGCACAGCAGGCGGCTGCATGGCACAGCGGGGAGCTGCGGGCAGGAGGGCAGCACTCCAACAGCCGGGCCACCACAGTGAGGCATCGTGGCGAGATTCCAGATCTTCTCCCCGAAAGTGCTGGTCTCCCTGCGGTGTCTCAGAGGATGGCCGTCCGGTCACGCACAACAGGAACCCAGACGGCATCGTGGGTCCCTCCCCCCCACCCATCACAAAGTCTTTCTGATTTTACCTCTTAAATATCTCAACTCCAAACCCCTCTGTTTCTCCTCAGCCCTCGCCCTCCTTCGAGCCCTCGTCTTTAAGTATCCCAACTAGTCAACGAAGAGGCTACCTGAGCCCACCCTCTCCAATCGATGCTCCTTTCAAATATGGCTGATGGAGGTGAGCACCATCACGCACCCTTTTACTCACAGGCTAAGCAGGCTCCGTCATGTATTTATACACGGACACTCACTAAATCTTTCCAAAACCCGAAAAAGAAAAGTCCCTCATCCCCGTTTTAGAGCTGAAAAATGATGTTCCGAGAGATTTAGCAGCTCCTCAGAAGGCACACAGCCTGCGGCTAAGCCAAGGCTTGAGGTGCTCCATTCAAGTCCCACACTCCTCCTCCCAGCTTCCCCTACACACAACAGCTGTGCAGCCAGCCTGCGGGCGCTGCGCCCCCGTGAGCAAGGGGTCCTGCGGGCAGCAGGGGGTGAAGGGGTTGGACCAGTTTCCTTGGGCACCTTGCCTTGCACCAGGCATCACCATGGCCCCGGGCGGTCCACCCCAAACCTGACCTGCGGGTGACTCCCCGAAGGCACTTTGAACACTGACCGAGTCCCATGCCCCGTGCGACCTCCAGCGCTCAGGGCAGCCGCAGCCCACGCCCCTCGGGAAGGCGGGCCTTCGTGGCTCCCTGTGCATCGCTGCCCTCATCTGTCCTTTGCCTACTTCTCTCCTTTCCACCTTCAAGACTCACCTTATGATCCCCTCCTCCAAGAAGCCGCCCTTCCCTTTCCAGCCACCCCCACCATTCCACACGGTGTCCTGCCAGCACAGCGTGCTACTGCCCACGGCACAGCTGTGCCCCCCGCATGTGCCACATGACTCTCAGCATACCTGCCTGTCTCCCAACAGCCCGAAGCTCCTTCAGGCCATGGCCAGGCCACCCCGGTTTTTTGGGGGGGGGGGGGGGCAGGAGCGACCCGGGCGGCATCACTCACTGCGCAGCAGCAGGGCTGTAAGCCGATGAAGGCCAGCGACACCTATTTGTCATGGAAGCTCCCCCATCACCACGTCAGCACTCACCTGGCACAGGAGTTCCACAAATAGCCGCTGGATAAACACTTGCCGCGCAGTGGCTCTCCTTAGCCCACCAAGGAGTTTGCTAGGCTCACATCCCCCG